GAAGTGGCAATCAAAGCTTGTTGGCAATTACGAAGCCAGGTGAAATTGACGACAAAGAACCGAGTACAATAGCGATGTGCTCCTGAAGCCTTACGCTGCACTCGGAATCCAAGGGACGAATAATTTAATAAGAATAGCTCAAGTTTACACTGATAAGAAGTTCAAGACTGGTGTTAATCTTTTCTAACTAACTGGCGTGTGTATGTGTGTGTGTGTGATCTGACCAGCATGATGTGTCCCTACCCTTAAAGTAAGAAAGTGTGATATTAGTAATAGCTCTTTTTATTATTCCTTTGCTTTCCCAGTGGAACATTGCGCTTCAAGCCTCAGCTCCGAAGTTTCAGTAGTAGTTCTAGTGTTTTTGCGGGGTGGGGTTGCTATCCTCGTGCCCACCCTCCCCTCTTTGTCGGTATTATAACCGCCTTAAGGTAGGTAAAGGTGCGCGCTGGCCGAGGGTCGAACCCCGGGCCACCTGCATAGTCGGCCAGTGGAACCACCAACGCACGTAACTAGTAATAGTGTAGCAACAGAAGGCAAGACACGGAAGCCAAGGTATATTTTCAAGTGATCAAACCGTTGTTTATATCTATATCTATACAGTTTATATTCGTTAACCAATCACTGAGCGTACCATTTCGGTTTACATCAAAAAACAAGAAATAGAGTGTTCAAATAGAGCTATTGCATTCTCTTACCAATGCCGCATTGAACTGTGGGAACATGTGAGAATAACATTCCTTTGGCACACATTGTCTGTATCACACCACTCCACAAAAGTTTATTTTATCGAAATTTACTAGAGATATCCAAACATCACATAATGTGTGATGGTTTGGACAAATATGAATTTTGGTAATTTACTGAAGCGATTGTTTTAACAAGACGAGTGCCTAGTTTATTAATTAACCTCCCATTAGGAAAACTAATATCGTAACATTTAGGAAACAATAGGCGAAGTTAGTTCGATAGCGTTAACAGCGAAGTAGTTTGAAACCTACTTCAACACTGTGGAGTGGCACAGTGTCTTAATCTGCCTCATTCAACAGCTGACTATATATGACAATGCCAAATGTTAAGTGATCTACAACAAAAATCTCAGCACAGCCTTAGAAGTGAATACAGGAGTACGACAAGGCTGCCTGCGATCGCCGATGATATTCCTAATTGTGGTGGGCTAGATTATGAGTCAGACTGTGCATTATGAGCGAGAAGTCAGGAATACGTTGGAGCGATATGAAGACTCTCGGTCGGTCGGTCGGTTTTCGACATAGAACTTTGCACATATGTGCGGCAGTTCAAGTCGCCACACGCCCTCCATGTAGCACACAAAGCAAGAGAAGAAAGTAGAAGAAATGCATAATATAGATAGTAAACGGAGGTGTGAGACAAAGGAATAGTAATAACGGAGAACAGAACAGTTTCATTGGAAATTATAAGTCACAGGGAGTGGATGCATCTGCGCTAGCCACTGAGAACGATTTTGAGCCATGTCACCAATTGTTTCCAGCCATTGGATTTTACCGTCCCGAGGACCCCAACCAGGAGGCCAGTCTACACCTTCCTACGTGGCTTAGACTAACTGTTGTGGATTTCATTGACTGATAAAGCCATGTTTTCATTTGACCGCCGCTAGCTCTTTTCCAGCCTGGCCCTATATCAGCTAACATTGCCAGTCCAGGAAGGCGATGACTAGGCATACGTGACACATGTCCTAACCATCTCAGTCCATGTAATTTCACAGTCTCATCTATTGATTTCCCCTCCTTACCTAGCACTCGACGCCTAACCCCAATATTGCTCACCTTATTATACCACTTCACACGGGAGATAGAACGCAAACACCTATGGTCGAACACAGACAATCTTTTCATGTCTTCTGCTCTCAATGGCCAGGTCTCACAGCCATAAAGGAGGACGGAGCGGACTGTTGAGCAGTACACACGCCCTTTGGTCGATAGTCGGATATCTGGGCTTCGTAAACTATTTATATCTAATGTCACGTAATCTCAAAGACTTACAGCTGAGAACTATCAAGTTGACAAAAGAGGTAGGACTTCAGATGAACATAGAGAAGACAGAAGTGATGAATGTAATCGAACAACCATCCTACAATGACAAGCAACAATCGCTATATGTGGTGACGAGGATGAGAATGTCAAAGATGGTCAGAATCGGAAAGGCGAAACAGACAGACCTACATCGCTCTGAATTCAGTATGGAAATCTGCTGAATTCAGCACAAAGAATGAAATTCAGATTTTCAACACCAATGTTAAGATAGTCACCTCTTCTATATATAGGTCAGAATCTTCGCATGCTCATCTCCAGAAGCATTTCTAACAGTCTGCTACAGACTTTTATCAACAACTGCCCCCTTCTTTTTTCTCTATTCCTTTACGTTCCCCAATGGATTATAGGGCTTCAAGCTAGAGGCTTGAAGTTTCGGTAGCAGTGGTGTTTATTTAGTTTTACAAGATGGGGTTGCTAGCCTCATACCCAACCTTCTTCCCTCTTTACTAGTTTTATTACTGGCTTATCGAGGTAAAGGGGTGTGTCGGCCGGGGATCGAACCCCGGACCACCTGCGTGGTTGGTCCCCTTCGCCGGCTCCAAACTGAAGATCAGAATTAGCAATAAGAAACTCTGGGAAAGAACCTATTGCCCAACAAATATACCGAAGAAAATGGAGGTGGACAAGGCACACACTAAGAAGACCGTTGGGTGACATCTAGCGCTAGGACATCACCAGAGTGAGAGACGACGAGTAAGGCGTTACTTCGAAGGTGACATGGAGGAGATGTAAGTTTATGGTCAATCGTGGGGCTAGCTAATGAGGACTGGAGAGAACAGGGTGTAATAGAGATGTGCTGTTGAAGACCTCCTTCCTATATCCCACTTGGAACCAAAGGAAATAATAATGACAATAGGTGTTAGTGGATTTTCGCAGGTAAATTGATTTATTGAAATGAGATCGTTACAAATTATTGCTTAGTTACTCAACAGTAAGTGTTGTACTAGATTCTCTTTGCGTTAAATATCTTTTTAAGATGAATAAAATAGTCTAGACATTGGATTTGTCAATATTTACGGAAGCTAAGGTATATTTTTCATTAATCAAACCTCTGTTTATATATCTACAGTTTATATCCGTTAACCAATCACTGAGCGTATGATTATGGTTTACATCAAAAGACAAGAAATATAATGTTCGAATACAGATATTGTATTCTGAACTGTGGGAATATTTGAGAATAACATTCCGTTGGAACACATTGTCTGTATCAAACCACCACAAATTGATCCACCAAGTCGCATCAAACACACCGAATTCGCAATTTGCACAGTTTGAGGAGGTGGAATTTCACCGCACAGTTTCCTTTGGAAACCGAAATTATTCAGACCACACTGTGTTATATGCTTCATACCTTGTCTTGTAACTGGAAGGTTCTGGGTTCGAACCCCACTATGGTGGGTGCGTACTGCCGACAATTCCCAGAAAATTAGGATGAAACAGCTGTCTAGTACTCCTTGCTTGTTTTCAATAGTTCTCTAACTGATATCATTCCGTGATCAACTCGTAAAAATCAACGATTGCACTGCACTTGATAGAAACAGGACAAAACATCAACTTTGATAGGACCAAGGTTTTAAGGAAAGGTTTTGGTTCGTATATAGAAGGACTGACCGCGGAGGCCTTATATATATATATATATATATATATATATATATATATATATATATGGGAGAATCCCAAAAGCCTGGACAGGTGTGATATTAGCTGATGTATGGCAAGTCCTGATGAATGAATAATATGGACATGTATCACTAATTTCCTATGCTTGTTTTAGTTTTCCTGATTATATATGTATGTTCTTATGGAAAGGCTAACAAATGATGTAAAATTGTTCTCCCATGCACACACACACACTATTGTATATCGCATATGTTTATATTTCATAGTCAGTTATCCATGACCACAAAAACTTAAGTCGAGCATGAACATTGAAACAAAAATATACAGTGTTTAACAAAATTGGACTAATAATTGTAAGTCTGCGGTTAAATCTTGATCACAGTTCATGCAGTTTTGTTTATTTATTTATTTGATATCTATTTCATGAATCACGTGATTGAACAAGGAATTTAAAGACAAAGTGTGTCCTTTTATGTACTTACCCTTAAGTATTTTAATCTCGATTATTTCCCTGATAATGTTTGGAATTTTTCGCCGAACGAAACGTTGGAATTACTTAATGAACTTCACTGATATTTATACAGATATAATTTTCACATATTTAATTCGGCTTAGATTTTCCCGTCGATTAATTGGACCGAAGTGCTCGATCTCAGGTCCACAAATCGGCTCCTTGTGAAGATGCTTTGACGATGTCCAGTCATGTAACTTGAAGTCAATTGGTGGATGGTGACTAGCAGTGGAAGCCTGCCAGAATGCACATTCCCTCCTATTTGGGACTCGTCAACTGGATGTACCTACATTCCCCAGTGAGAGTGATGATGTTCCCACCGAGGCTCGAGCCCAATGCCAATAGTCTCAAACGCCAAACCGTTATCCACTAGACCACTCAGGCCGCAGGAGCCACCACTTGTGCAATGGGTCTCGTGGCCTAGGTGGTCTAGTGGATAACGATTTGGCATTTGAGATAATGATCTCTGCGTTCGAGCCTCGTTGGGAACACCATCACTCTCACTGGACAATGCAGGTACATCTCCTAGCTGACGAGTCCCAAATAGGACAAAATGTGCGTTATCCTGGGTTCCACTGCTGGTCATCATCAACCAATTAATTTTCACACATAGATACTTTTCAATTAGCACCCAAATATCGTGGAAATGGTTCATACAAATAGCATCGTGTTCATCTCCAGTGACTGAGCAGGAGGGAATTCACGTAAGCGCACCCTACTACTGAATCACAATATAAGTAGCATGAGAACATAAAACTAAAATTCGCGCACATTTATAAAAGGAAAAAGATAAGACATCACAGGCTATCCATACTGTTTTATTCTTTGCGAAAGATAAAGAAAGAAAAAACAATTCTTAAGTCTTAGAAAAGTATTAAAAAAACTCAGAAACAAATATGTACGTACACAAGATAAATAAATGAATTGTTATCTCTTAAGTATAATAAAAAGGCACTTGTTCACTTTACTTTATGTCAGGAATACGGAAAAAAAGGCAGATAAAGTGGATATATGGTGAAATTCACTCAGCTAGGTATGATATGTATGTATATGTGTATATATATAACCTTAGTTATATACAGTTTCTGTTGTCTTGGAACTTTAAAGATAGATAATTTTATGTACAATGATGTGCATTTGTATTTATTCTATGAATTTAGGTATTTTCGCATGTTGCACATTTCAACTTGTTCTTATCTTATATCTTGTTCATGCGCTTATCTTTGTTTTTTCTTACGATATAAATCTGGAATCGACTTGGATGCAGCTCTTGCCGCCCGTTCAGACATATTCTTCTGTGTGGACATTCCTGATGGATAAGACATCTGAGTGAATAATTGTTGTTCTTGTCCAAGCATCGATTGTTGTTGCATCGATGATTGTCCTAACATCGGTGGTGCTAGTGATACTGATGACGCTGATAATTGTGCAAATTCAGAGGTTGTCAGCTGTCCTACATTCATATTCCGATTTTGTAATTGTATTTGTGATGCAGACAATGGGAAATCTGATGTAGTAATTAATTGTGGTTCACTGACACTACTACCATGACCACCACCCCCAGAGAGATAAGGATTTCTTTTTTGTTGAAATGCTGTTTTTGTTGTTGTTTTTGTTACTGTACGTTTTAATAAGTCTAAATCACTTTTAGCCAGCATATATGGGGCCACGTGTAAGAGATTTTCAAGTAAATGCATTGAATAAGTATACCATCGACGTTCCCCGTCACTTTCAAAGTAGGGTTCATTATACGGAGTTTTACGAATAAATTCTTCACAATTTTCAACAAAACTACGTACTAAACTTGATGCATACAACTTCCATGTGGTTTTCTCTTCGTGTAAATTATTCAATGTTGCTACTATTTCAAGTGGGATATCATTTTCAACATCATTATCCTGTCAGAAAATATATAAACAATAATAATAATAATATTCAAGAATTGATTTGTAAGAATTAAATTTGTTTCTTCATGAGTTTGACCGCGGATTGATATCAGTTAGAAAACTATTAAAAACCAGGACTGAGTTTCCTGGAGTTCTAGTAAGAAGTTGTGATCAGTGAGGTCCATCCAGTCTAGTGTGAGGATGGATTTCCCACCGATGACATTGGTTGGTGCCAGTCGCGCTAAATGCACCACGAATTGGCAGGAGTTAGAATTCATGGGCTGACCACTGAATCGGGTCGCGTCTCAGTGGCTGAATGGTATACGAGCCAGCTTGCCTTGTAACCGGAAGGTCCACTGTGGTGGGTGCGTACTGCCGATGATTCCCAGACTATGATGAAACAGCTGGCTGTCCAGTACTCCTTGCTGGTTTCCAATGGTTCTCTAACTGATATCAATCCTAGGTCAAACTCGTGAAAACAAACAATAATAATAAGAATTAGCAGAAGAAAATACAGGAAGTTGATTTAAGATATTCATGAATAATTTCCATTCTAGGCATTAATGAAAATAAAGGACGTAGTGGTCAGTGAAGAGTCTCTTTCCGCCGACGAATTCATTCACTTAGCTGTACAGTTGCAATTACATTTATACTTATTTTGTATGTATGTGTGTGTGTACATTAGGCTTGTCCGATAAGAATACAAATTACTTAGGGTTATTGTTATCAAGACATTTCAAAAATGCGATGAGTAATCAAACTGTAACTAGGCCGGTGGGGGTGAAGATTGATAAGAGGACAGTGGTGATGTATTGTCAACGCATAAAAGAAGTTGAACAGGCTTAATGCAGTTACGTAATGAGATAAATAGTTTAAAGGAGTGAGTTGTGATTAGGATTCGCATAGAAACAAAGGAAAATATGGAATTATGTAAGAGTTCTACAAAATTACAAATCTTATAAGGAGTTTAAATAAAGCAAGCATAGAAACACCAAGTCATCAGAAGTCAACACAAGTGTTACCAATGATAGTAGAAGTGGTTGGATTTTCATTTACTTTTGTGTATATGGCTCTGGTTTCTTCAAGTGAATGGCTAATTCTTCAGTAATGCGCAGAGGAGACGAAAGTGTATTGTCCTTTGGTAGGTTGTTCTTCACTTTGTAGATCACTTTGAAGAAGGCATTTTTTGAGATGGAATGACCAGTGTTGACAAGATGTTCGCTTATCGTACTTCTTAAACAGCCACCATTACCATTTTACAACCTTGCGGGATAATGTTCTTGAAACTTTTTAGATACGATACGTGTCGAACTACCAATGTACCTGGCTCCACAGGGACAGGTGAACTTATATATGCGTGTAGAAGTGATCAGATGCGGGTTCTTGTCCTTAAGGCTTCTACAGATCAATGAGCGACTGAAGGACACTACTCTTAGAGTAGCTGCGGAAAATGTTCTTTTCAAAGATGCTCCTTCAAAGTGATCTACAAAGTGAAGAACAACCTACGAAAGGACAATACACTTTCGTATCCTTTGCGCATTGCTGAAGACTTAGTCATTCACTTCGAGAAAGCCGAGTCATATACACAAAAGAAAATCATCCAACCACTTCGTGATATCCGGCTATTGACCAAAGGGCGTGTGTACTGCTCATCAGTCCGCTCCGTCCTCCTTTATGGCTGCGAGTAAGACATAGCCATTGAGAGCAGAAGACATGAAAAGATTATCTGTGTTCGACCATAGGTGTTTGCGTTCTATCTCCCGCGTGAAGTGGTATAATAAGGTGAGCAATATTGGGGAAATCAATCGACGACGAGGCTGTGAAGTCACATCGACTGAGATGGTTAGGACATGTATTACGTATGCCTAGTCATCGCCTTCCTCGACAATGGGCAATGTTAGCTGATATAGGGTTAGGCTGGAAAAGAGCTAGCGGCGGTCAAACCAAAACATGGTTTCGTCAATCAATCAAATCCACAACATTAGTTTAAGCCAGCCACGTAGGGAGATGTAGACTTCCTGGTTGGGGTCCTCGGGACGGTAAAAACCAATGGTTGGAAACAATTGGTGACATGGCTCAAAATCGTTCTCAGTGGCTAGCGCAGATGCATCCACTCCTTGTGACTTATGATTTCCAATGAAACTGTTCTGTTCTCCGTTATTACTATTCCTTTGTCTCACACCTCCGTTTACTGTCTTTATTATGCATTTCTTCTACTTTCTTCTCTTGCTTTGTGTGCTACATGGAGGGCGTGTGGCGACTTGAACTGCCGCACATATGTGCAAAGTTCTATGTCGAAAACCGACCGACCGACCGATCCAACCACTTCTACTATCATTGATAACAACCGTGTTGAATTCTACTGACATCATGTTAGTGTGCTTGTTGTTTTTTTCTAACTCCTTATAACATTTGTAATTTTGTGGAAGTCTTACATAATCGCATATTTTCCTTTATTTCTACATGCATTCTAATCACAACTCACTTCTTTAAACTATTTATCGCATTACGTAACTGCATTAGGCCTGTTCAACTTCTTTTATGTGTTGATTAACATTGACAACTATATGTGTTGACAACACATCACCACTACCCCGTTACCAATCTTCACCCACCCACCCCCTATTTACATTTTGATTACTCATCGCATTTTTGAAATGTCTTGACAGTAATAACCCTAACTAATTTCTATTCTTATTGGACAAACCTAATGTACACACACATACCAAAATAAGTGCATATATATATGCGATTGTACAGCAAAGTAAAAGATTTAAGATATATAAAACGGAATAGTTGCTTGGAAAATTAACCCCACCCCAACACCCCCATCGCTGCCCCACTGAATGATTCAATTACTGGATGGATACTTACTTGGATATATTTCAACTAACTTTGTAGTTACTTTCTTCTTTGTTTTACTAGGCTGTATATATATGTAATTGCCCTAACGTGTGCACATATTATCTGCTCACTTAATCCTTATTGTTAATATTATTTGTCTATGCTCCTGTTTTTGATTAATCTCTGCTCCCATTTTTAGTTGTGCGGATGGATACATTGACAATGTGTTGCATTACGACTGAGACTTTGTTTGAGTGAATCAAAGTCAATCTGACCTTGGATGATGATTGTCTTTGAGAACTGTTTGGTGTGGGATTCTTGCTGAGAGAATTTTGTTCCTTGCCCCAATGTTGGGAATATTCTTCTTCTTCTTGATTCTCAAGTACTTCTTATAGTTGAACTTTGGAGAATTAACTTTGTTCTACAGTACCCTGTTTTGTATCTGAGAACTAATTTCATCTGAATCACCTGTCGGTGGTTAGGATGCTTGCCGATCATGCACATGGTTCGGGGTTCGATCCCCGGCCACTGGACGCACTCCTTTACCTCGCCAAGCCAGATATAATGCTGGTGAAGAGGAAAGGTTGGGCATGAGGCAGGCTAGCAACCCCATCCTGTAAAATAAACACTGCTACAGAAACTTCAAGCCACTACCCTGAAGCCCTATGTTCCACTGGGGAATGTGAAGGAAAAAGAAGAAGAAGCTGCCTAACGGCCAATGTTTAGGTAATTTTTTAGTGTTTGATGTTATTATTGTTAAGCAAAGTCACATAGATTTCATCATGAGCTAACATTGGTTAGAGAACAGTTGGATAACCACCAGGTGGAGTACCGAACAGTTGTTTCGTCAGCCTAGTTTAGGACTCTTCATCAGTACGCACCCACCGGGGTTCGAACCCTCGACCTTCCGGTTACAAGGCAAGCTCGTGGACCATTCATTAGCCACTGGAACCCGATCCAGTGGCCCATTAAATCCTAACTTCTGCCAATTCACGACATAGCGCAACCACTAGCCAATGTCTACGAGCTCGCCTTGTAACCGGAAGGTCATGGGTTCGAACCGCGGTGGGTACGTACTGATGAAGAGTCCCAAACTAGGCTGATGAAACAGCTGGCTGTCCACTACTCCAGTGTTGGTTTTCCATTGGTTCTCTAACCAATGTCAGCTCATGATGAAATCCTGTAAACAATCAATCAAATCGCTACAAACCAAAACTTGAATATTACAGAGATTTTTTTACTGCAAATAATCGCCTTTATTTTTTTGACTGTTTGTGTCTCAAAGAAGTTTTAGTCAGCTCTACAATAGGAAAAAAAGATCGGATTTCTGCGTTCTGACAACAACAGCAACAACAAAATGTCGCCTTTCGTCGTTACAGAATATATGTGTTCATTGGGAAAGGAATATATCAATCTGAAGAGAAATCCGTATACGCTGAGATCAGCAAACTAACTAACTAACTGACTAACGAAAAGCTAAAGAAAAGAAGAAGAAGACAATGTGAAATGGTTGCGCTATGTCGTGAACTGGCAGAAGTTACAATTCATAGGCTGGCCATTGGATCGAGTCCCAGTGGCTAGTGAATGGTCTATAAGCTGGCTAGCCTTGTAATCAGAAGGTCCTGGGTTCGAATCCCAATGATGGGTGCGTATTGCTGAGGAGTCCCAAACTAGTCTGACGACTCAGCTGTCTGGCAGTACTCTCTGTAGTTTTTCCAATGGTTCTCTAACTGATGTCAGCTCACGATGAAATCCTCCATGCAATCAAAGAAAATCCCTACAAAACCAATACTTGAAAATGAAACCAAATTTAATTCTGTAAGTTTTTTTTTCCTTCATGTTTCCCAGTGGAACATAGGGCTTCAAGATAGTGGCTTGAAGTTTCTGTAGCAGTGTTTAATTTTTACAGGATGGGGTTGCTAGCCTGCCTCATGCCCAACCTTTCCTCTTCACCAGCATTATTTCTGGCTTAGCGAGGTAAAGGAGTGCGTCCAGTGGCCGGGGATCGAACCCCGGACCATGTGCATGCTCGGCGAGCGTCCTAACCGCTATGCCACCAACGCACAAATTCTGTAAGTAGCATATATATTTAATTATGTGGATAGTTTTTTCAACACTGTACACTAGATTGGAGAACCACTATAATTTAGTCAGGAGTACTGGACAGCATTTTCCGCTTAGTTTGGGACTCTTCAGCAGTACCCACCTACTGAAGTTCGAACCTAGGACCTTCCAGTCACAAGGCGAGCTACGTAGACCATTTAACCACTGGGATCCGATCCAACTTCTGCCACTTAGCGATATATATATATATATATATATAGCACAACCATAAGCCAATTTCATCAGCAAGTAACTCTCCACTTAAACGAACTCGTCGTTGGACTCCGCTGATCACAACTTCCAGTTAGAACTACTGCAGTTCTAAAAGGTTGATATGACTGCCTGAGTTGATCCTGAGTTCTACGCATGGATGAAAAACAGTTGTACAGGAATTCCTGTTTTTCAGCTGGCTCTGAAACTATGTACATTTGTTTATGATTCAAAGTTTGATAGTCTATAGGGAGATCAGTAGTAGTGAATACTATATGAAAAGTTTCTTATCTATTTACCAGAGAAGAAGTGTCTACTGTGTTCGCCTTTGTTATCATCCACTAATTGCTCTTTAAATAAACTTGATTTATAAAATTTAACTTAACTAGTTGAAATTAAGATTGAAAGAATTCAATCCTTTACAGAAATTGATTCCATTAAGAGTATAATTGACAGATGTACAAAATTTTTATCTAAAGTTATGCAGTCGTTTTTAAGAGTCTCAAAGTATTTAAAGGATTCTACTATTGATTGCTTTATATTATATACTATACTATTTGAAATAGGGTTTATTGATTTATATTATTGATTTATATATGATACTAATGCTATTATTATTCCCTTAGGTTCCTAGCGGAACATGGAGCTTCAGCAGTACATCTCCATTTCGGTCATGTTCTCTCTCTCCAGTCCTTGTTAGCTGACTTCATGATTGACCTTCACACACAAGATCTCCTCCATGACACCCTTGAAGGGACGCTCAACTTGTTGTTCTTCATCTGAGTGTCAGCCGGGCGTCTGATGTCAACCAGTGGTCTCTTCAGCGTGTGTCCAATCGATCCATCTCCATTTTCTTCTACATATTTGTTGAGCAATAGGTTCTCGAATGGGTCGTTCCGCAGAGTTTCTTGTTGTTAATTCTTTCCAGACAGCCATTTGATCTTTGCTCTAGAGACAGCGAAGGCAGTCATTGATGGAAGTCTGGCAGTAGCCAGTTGAAAATCGTTCTCGCAACGAACCGAATCATTGACCCATAGAGAAGAACTGACTGACTGACTGACTTCACATTTGTGTTGAATAGAATCGGAATCTTGTTCTTTATGTTGCGGAGTATAGAAGATTTTCACACTGATTTCATAGTGGTGAAGGTTTTCCATGCGTTTCTGATTCTACCTTTGACATCCTTATCCGCGCTGCCTGCCTGTAGTTGAAATGATTTTGCCCAGCTAACAAATGAAGGGAGTGACCTCATTCAAATTTCCCCCCATTGATAGTGATTGCTGCTTGTTACTGTTGTTGTTGCTGTTGTTTGTTGGTTAGTTGATTATCTTCATCACCTCCTTCTTCTTCTTCTCCTCTATGCTGACTTGAAGTCCTGTCCTCGCTGTCTGCCAGCCTCTTCTGCCAATTTGTTGGTTTTCGCCTGCCCCTAAGTCTTCGAGTTTGTTTGTGTCAGTGATATTAAACATAAATCATCCACAGGCGAAATCCAGATCTTCTAGAGTCTTTTCATCGATTAGTCCAATGTATTCCTACCTTCTCACTCCCCATGCACAGTCTGATGTGTAATCCAGTCAGTCCATCACAATTAAGAATGCCATTTGGTGATAGAAGGCAGCCAGCCTTGTGTTACTCCTGTCTTCACTTCGATCGCCTCGCTAAGTTTTCCGTTGTGGATCACCTGACAAGCGGCAGGCCTTTTCATATAGCTAACCAGCTATTGATGAATGAGGCTGATAAAGACTTGAGGCACTACACCCAATAGTGTTGAACCGGTTTCCAAATTGCTTCTCGGTCAACGCTGCACTGTCGAAAACCTTTTCGAAGTCGGCGAACTGTGTCACTTGCAAATCGCCAATTAGAACACTAGAAATTGTCAAATAATTAAACTCAACAAAAGATCATGGGACAGACTCCTTCCAAAATTAATAGTAATTATTTCTTTAGAGTATATTAAACAGTATGCAGCTTAATATGATATATTTCAGTGATTTTCTAAATATTTTTTTTCAGTATAAATGCAAAATTCTTATTCAAAAAAAATCTAATTACTCTTAGATTTCTTATTTCAATAATCCGAAAGAAAATGTTATGAGTCATGTGTGTTTTTTTGGAAATCGTATTAAAAAATATAAAAGCAAATGATGAAAGCCTATTTTTGAATCTGGCGCCATCGGATTTTATTGACTTTAATCAAAGAATTACCACTACTACTACTAGTAATAATAATAATAGTAATATTAATAATTACGATAATAATTTGCCAGTTTTTAACGTCTCACATGATTCATATTTTATGAAAAAAATTAAATCAAACCACTTAAAAAATATATTCTATGTGCCCTTTAAGTTTTAATTACAATAAAAATTTGAATTTTCAAGTATTGGCTTTGTAGGGATTTTCTTTGATCGCATGGAAGATTTCATCATGAGCTGACATCAGTTAGAGAACCGTTGGAAAACCAACAGGGAGTACTGCCAGACATCTGTTTTATCCGACTAGCTTGGGACTCTTCATCAGTACGCACCCACTGGGGTTCGAAACCAGTTAATGTTGAACGTGAGGCAGTAGCTCATCGAAGAAGACATTGCGCGAAGTGGTCACGCTATATGTACCATGGATTTTGCAGAAGTCACAATTCATGGACTGGCCATTGGATAGGGTACCAGTGGCTAATGAATGTTCTACGAGCCTGCTAGCCTTGTAACCAGATGGTGGTGGGTTCGAACCCCGTTGGTGTGTGCGTACTGATGAAGAGTCTCAAACTGGGCAGACGAAACAGACGTCTGACAGTGCCCTCAAGTTTTCCAGTGGTACTCTAATTGATGTCGGCTCATGATGAAATCCTCCAACCAATCAACCAAAATCCCTACAAAACCAATACTTGAAAATATGTTATTTATTTGAAAACTAATGATTGTACAGCTTTTCTTATCACAACAATAATCTATCTTCCGGATGTTCATATATCTTTGTTCTATATGCTTTCCGTGTTTTCTGTTTTTCGAGGGACTTTGATAAATTTCATCGTAGATTTTGTCTTGAGCCAAACACATTGATTTTTTTATATAGTCTGAGAGCCTTTCGATTGAGTTTCAACATAGAACCTTCCAACTGAACCTGATGTCAGCTAACATTATTAGTCGAGCAAGTGGCAGGTATTGCCGAAGAATCTCACACTAGGACGAAACAGCTGTCCAGTACTCCAGCACTGGTTTTCCAATGGTTCTCTAACTGATGTTAGCTCATGATAAAATCCTCTAACCAGTTAAATAACATATATTAGTCAGCGTCAGTGGTTAGGCGGTAGAATGTTCGCCGTTCACAAACGTCCTCTGTAGGGTAGATTCCAGGATGATGCACTCCTAAACTTCAACTACCCAATAGTAATCCTGGTGAGGATAACAACAACACCGGCAGCAAAACTTCATAATTTAAAGACACCTTATGGTTTCCATTTAGAAGGCAAGCAATAAACAATAATAACATATATGAGTGCATACCTGTGGATTCTCAGCTTTATTTTTCGCTACCTGTTCACCGGCTAATCGACCAATCACCAGTTCTTGTTGTTTTTTCTCTTCTTCAAGAATTTTTTGTCTTTGCAACAGTTCCACATGTATTTTTTCCCAATCCTCTTCTTTTTTACGATAAACTTCAATTTCTTCTTGAAGTTTTTGCAACTCCATATGTAGGCTTAAATCATTCGCAGCGTTCATATTTAATCCAGTCGACATTGTATTCATATGTCCTGTATGATTATTATTATTATTACCAATAATGGATCGATACTCTGTGCTTAGTGTTGAACGCAACTGATCTGTCCCCGTATTCGCTTTATCCATATTCTCAGCAATTATATGATCAGCAGAATCATGATGACCATGACCGTTCATTAAATTATTATTATTAGTATGAATATGATTGTGATTCATAGTACTATTACTACCAGCATTCAATTGAATTTCATCTAGCTGTTCATTGAGAAAATCACATTCTTGTGTTTTTAAGTCTAGTGAATGCTTAGCTTGATCTAATTGCCAAGTTAAAGCGTCAATTTCAGCTTCTAAACGTTCACATGCCTCCATTAACACAGTGACTTGTTCATCACGTGTTTGTGTATTATTCAACAGAAACATACTTTTCATCTAAAATTTTTTTTAAAAAAACAACAGAATAGCAAATAGGTATTTATATAACATTAATAATATTAATAATAATGATAACAACTGGTATTAAGATACCGTGATAATACATAGTTAACAACTGATATCGCCTTTCGTAAATCTCCTGCTGACAAGAAGACTAGACGGTCGTATAAAACCAACGAATTTGCATAGACAAAGTACTTCGACCAGTCACCATTCACATATATTATCACAGCTTTGCTCCTCAACGGTATAAAAGAAATTTGATAAACGCCCTCAACTGTTGGGGTCAGAGCTATTTGTTTGGAAGATGCAGTTGGAGGCGAACCTCATCTTGTATAAGACACGTTAATGGATAACAGCTACCCTGAAAACTTACACACCAAAAGCACAGGATATGTGTGACTGTAAGTTTTATTATTATTATTATTGTTCCCTTGGGTTTCTAGTGGAACATAGGGCTTCAACTGCACGTCTCCACTTGCTTCTGTCTTCTGCTGTACTTTTCACTTGCATCCATGTTAATCCATACTATTTCCGCTCCTCCTCACACGATCTCCTCCATGTCACCCTTGGACATCCCACTCGCCGATTCCCTTTCGGGTTCCTTTCGAGCATTGGCCTGACGCGCGATGTCACCCCACAGCGGCCTCCTCAGCCAGTGAGTGTCCAATCCATCTCCACTTTCTCCTGCCTATTTGTTGGGCGATTGGTTCTTGTTTTGTTTGTCCCCATAGTTTCTTGTTGGTGATTCTTTCCGGTGGCCATCTGATCTTCAGTATAGAACGAAGACAGTTGTTGTTGATAAAGGTCTGCAACAGGCTGTTGGAAATATTCTTTGTGACCCGCCGCCAAGTTTCTGATCCGTAGAGAAGAACTGACTGAATTGACGTTAGTATTGAAAATCCGAATTTTGTTGTTGATGCGGGCTGAGTGACGAAGATTTCCAAATTGGTTTCAGGTTGATGAATGTGTTTCTCACCTTTCCGATTCTCGATTTGACATCCTCGTCCGTTCCTCCTGTAGTTGAGACAATGCTCCCTAGATAAGTGAATGAAGTAACCTCTTTCAAATCCTTCCCGTTGATGGTGATTGGCTGTGGATATTGGTGCTGTTGTTGTTGGTTGGTTATTTTCATAACCTCCGTCTTGTCTATGTTCACCTGAAGTCCTGTCTTTGCTGCTTCTTCCACCAGTTTGTCGGTTTTCGCTTGTAAGTCTTTGATTTTGTGTGACGTCAAACATAAATCATCCGCGAAATCTAGGTCTTCTAGGTTCCTCACGTCGGTCCAGGATATCCCTGTCTTTTCGTTTCCCACTGTCTGACGCATAATCCAGTCCACCACAATTAGGAATATCATTGGTGATAATAAGCACCCTTGTCTGACTCCTGTGTTTACTCCAAACGCCTCGCTGAGCCATAACAAGTCGAGAAGACCGATTCAAAGAACGTTTAGTGCTAATGGTAAGCTGCAGTCTACATTTTCCACACAAACGGTTGTAATTCCCGAAACTGGAAGAGGAAATACCTAGGCTGCCTAACCACCTCTGATTGCATCGATCAATTCAACAGCTCCTAATGAGATAGTTATATTTGCAGTCAGTTGCTCTAGGAACTTAATTATTCGTAATGGGGATCATCTACCAGTGAGGCGAAATATAGGTGTTGTTGAAACCATCAACACTTCGTTCAAACAGGCTACAAAGCTGGCTAGCACTGAAGGTTATTTTCCTCTATCATCATCTATCACAAATCGAATAAATTACAAGTGGACTCTAGATACTGAATACTACAAACAGCAGTGGACACTGCAATTCGCCTAAATCATGCAGAGTTCGGTGGGCCAAGGAAACAAGGCAAGTTAGCCACTACTACTACTTCTACTACCCTGGCCTACTGTCTAACCTGTAGATGCATAAATTCTCTCTTACTTCCCTTAATTCATCTGATGTTCAGTCGGTTTATTGGTGCAACAAAGAATATTCTCTCTCTCTCCCTTACTGATGCTTTTGAAATGCAATACGTCGACACTAACTATTAACTCAATGTAATTTAATTATAATAATAATAATCTACTTTATTCCAAAAACAGTACTTATAATACGGAATGGAATTCTCAGTATTTGTCAGAATATTGCATCTGATTTACTCAAAATATAAATAAAATTAAAAATTAAAACAAAATTAATCGGAAAAATTTGTCCACATTTACGACATAAAGTCAAAAATATTCGAAGCATGAATTGAGATTATAAAATATAATAATAATAATAACAGTGAGTTTGTTTCAAACAGTATTGTCGATTCAGTTTGGAAACTCTACCATGTTACAGATTATTGGATCTAATGTTCCGTTGATATAGTATAGTGAGGGGAAATACAAAATTAACATTTATAACACAGCTTAAATGATGTGCACACTTATGAAAAAAAAAATGAAGTCGTTGAAAAGAAATTTCTTCGCTGAACAAAAATTGTGTTTTTACTTATGAAAAAAAATAGACAAAACGAAAAAATTGAGAGGATTATAAATATAAGAAATACAATAACAATAAAGTTTGATGCTTTAAGGGTGAAGGAAATGGTTTATTTACTGGTGCTAAGAAGGTTAGTTAGTTCATGTCTGACACTATTTTCATCACATAAAGTACGTGCTAAATATGGTATAGTGGAATTTTTATACTTAGACGTATGTGCATAAAGTCTTCTGAAAAGACTTCTTGTGTTACCTGAGGAGGAGACACAAGGTTGGAGCTGCGGGTGCTGCGGTGGATGCTCACAGTCTGACAAAACTCCTTTAGCGAATTTGTTGCATGACATCAAGTGTCTGTCAATGACAATGTCAGCGATATGGCCCTACTGACAGTCTTCAGAGTTCTATGAAGTATGACATAGTCTTTTTTAAGCAATCCAGGAAAGAATAAGGGTGAACAGTAAAGAAGAATAGGTAAAATACACGAGTTGATAAACTGTAAGAGGAGGGCTGGTTGGGTTATGCCTGAGTGCTTTAACTTCTTAATGTAAAAAGTCAGACGAAGTATTCTTTTAGAAATCGCTAAGACATGAGAGGACCAGGATAGGTCAGAGGAGAGAATTAAACCAAGATACTTAACTTCAGACTTGCTTTCTATATCAGTATCATCGATTTTGCAAGGGTCATAGGAACCAACGGCTTCATTTAACTTTCGTTTACATCAGAAACTGAAATTAAAAGTCTGACATTTGGAGGGATTAAGTTTAAGGCCGTTAGACGAAGACCATTTGCTAATTCCTGATAGAAAGTTGTTTATCTTAGTACATTCAAGCTGAGAGTTAACAGACATTGAAATAGTTAGATCATCGGCCTACTTAACAAAGTTCATTTCATCAGAGTGAGGCAAGTCATGCAAGAAGAAAGAAAACAGAAAAGGAGAAAGGACAGCGCCTTGAGGGACACCAGCCTCAGTAAGCAATGAAGTGGATGACTTTCCCTGACATACAGTGTACTGCTTTCTTCTTGAGAAATAAGAATGGAGCCATTTGAAAACCCAACAGTCAGTTTGAGTTTCAGCAAGCTTGTTTAGCGAAATGTCCCTAGGTACTGAGTCGAAAGCAGATATATAGCCTAGAAAGGTGCAGCGAACAAATTTAGTCCCCTTGTCTAAGCTGGAGGCAATGTTATGACAACGTTGATGTTGTTAATAAAAACATTTCTTTCATTTCATCAATGTGGAACCTGATGACGAACAGGTCATCAAAAATCTGAATATTCTTTGTTCTTCTTTGTAAGAGGTGTAGCTGTTGAAACTGAAAATAGCGCCTAGCGCCAACAGTTCAGTGATACCAGCAGTGCATAGACATCGCGTCCTGGAAAATGGAGAGAATTACTTCGTTATTGGGAGGAGAAGGTGTCGTCATACACGCGGACGAAACTGTTTTACTGGAGAAAAAATACAACCGTGGTTGACAACGAGCAAATAATGTTTGGGTGATCAGCTTATATAACACATGTCTACAGAAAGGATTCGTCGAGAGAATAGTAGACAGAAAGTCTACTACCTTAGTACCTAGTATCACTCGACTTGCGGAACAGGGATCTATAATACACACTGATGAGTGGAAAGGTTATAACTCCCTGTCATATCTTGGATATATATTCATTACAGAGTGAACCATTACAGCGACACACACCACTTCTATAAATGACTTTTAGCGAAGATTAAAACACAGGATTAGGGCTATAAATAGATCTCAAAAGGGTGTCATTTATAGTCATTTGGATGAATATTTGTACAGAATGTGGTGTAACTTTTCAGTTGATACTGTTATGCTACACTGGGAGATGTTTCTATCACATTTCAGAGAAGAATAACCTTTGTAACAGTTTTATGCACTTTTTTATGCAATTTTTCCATAAATATATATTTTCCATAACCAAAAAGTGCCCCTTTCACTTGATTGGTTCGTTGAAGGTAATCCGCTAATTGGTAGTTAGTGGTGCTAAAAGTTTAAGTTTGCCCAAGTGGGTTTTTGGTTGCTACAGTACTTTACAAATTAAATGGAAAGAAAAACCAAGACTAAGAGGCACACTCATAGATGAACGGAGAGAGAGAGAGAGGGGGACGGAAAAATGAATTCCAAACTGTTTTCCTACTTGATCAACTTACTTTAAAAGCTTCTGTATCTGTTTGATATTGTGCAGCTAATCGACGAAATTCCGTCAGTTGATTTTGTTGTTGATCAATAATTGTACGTGCTTCATTCAAGGCTTTTTTCATTTCATTATTCTGTAAATGAGCATGTTCTAATTCATCGTGTAGCCTGTAAACATCATCTTCTGTAATCTAATAAATAGAGATAAATAAAAAAGAAGATTATGAGCACAAAATATGATGTATTATATTGATTTTAGTTATACACATAAAATGGGAAATGATTTCCCACCCTCAGATTCATCGACAAGAACTGCAAACCAAAAATACCTTCCCAACAGGTTCAAGTCGCTCCTGAAAAGATTCTGATGTTTCTTTTCGAATTTAAAAGTGATAGTGAAGCAGAAATTCTCCGTAAATGGCTCTCAAAATCCCTTCAGTAAAATATACTTCGCCGCCAGCCTACGAGTGATATTTCCTTCCTGGAAACTATTCAGGCAACACGTAAAAGACAAGCTGTCTTATTGGTTATCTTCAAAATACATATATCAGTTCACTTGCTCTTGGGGAGCTGAGTCCATTGACTGTACCGTCAGTCTAGCCTGGATAGTAAAGAAAGAACACAAGTGTGTATATAGTTCGGTAACAGGACATCCGGTGAACTCACAGCATTCAGCTCCGTTTGGAAATTACTTCAAAGTCCCATACAAGGTCCTGTCACTTCCCTCAAAGTAAAAGTAATATCAAAGCATCTAAGCATGTAATGACAGAAGGCAAGAGTCAGGCAACAGATCATTTATTAAGAAAATCAATGCATATTTATATATTTTCATGTACATTACTATGGATATTTAAGCAAACAAACAAACACAGTCTTCCGATTGGTTGTTTCTCACGTAAAGTTAATCTTTCATCTATTTGTGACTGTTTCTTGAATGTCAAATCCTCTATATGTTAACTGCATCCGCCTACGCAAAGTCTGCTGTTGTCGGTTTTGAATCAATCTTTGTTCACATTTTCTCACGACAAATCTTGGGAACGTAAATATTGACGTAAATTACTGTCTACCAATTTGGCTAGTAGACAGCTCTCACTACAAGCATAGTGGAGGCACTGGCGATCCAAATGTTCAAACGCACTCTATGTATGTATTCAAAAGAAATACTTCCAACCATTGTCTTTATGATGGCCAATATAAAGGGTCAATTCTCTCAGTGTCAATTGTACTGTTACCTGTCTTATCCGAACTTCCTGTCTATTTTGTTATTCCTACAATTTTAAAAGTGCGTCGGTGGTATAGTGGTTAGGACGGACCATACACATGGTCCGGGGTTCGACCCCCGGCCACTGGACGCACTCCTTTACCTCGCTGAACCAGAAATAATGCTGGCAAAGAGGAAAGGTTGAGCATGAGGCTAGCAACCCCATCCTGTAAAATAAACACTGCTACAGAAACTTCAAGCCACTAGCTTGAAGCCCTATGTTCCACCGGGGGACGTGAAGGAAAACAAATTTTTAAATCCCTAGTTGCACAAAAAGTCAGTTTTCTCATTAGTTATTATTCTACTCTGTTTTTTTAATCCGATCTTCCTGTTTATTATTATAATATTTTAATCCCTATTCGCAACTTTATTAATTTGACACGTTACTGGAAATCGTTCTGGAACTTCCTTACCCATTTGCTATAGATACACAAATGTACAGCTACCTAGTTGATGACTTCGTAAAGAAAATCTCCTTCATTGCAATCGTCTTTTTAATATTTCCTGTAGATAAGCATTAAAAATGGTTAGCTAGCTGGTAATACTTTGAAGTTTTTTTACCGGTTGAAGGCAGTATGGACGACATCCTGGAGCACTTAGGTCTCCTGCTTGTTAACACTTATCAACAGAGAATGTATGAAAACTAGGAGGAACTGATGTTCCACGAGGGATATGAACGTACACCACAACCAATCCTGAAGTCAGAGACGTCATCACTCAGTTATTTAGAGTTGATATGCTGTTGGACTGTAGTGCGTACTATGACTGGTCAGTAGAATGTAATTAGTGTCATGGTGTCTAGCCTTTACTGTTGGTGCTGACTCACTGGAACTACTTTACCAGCTGAATTTGTCAAAAACATACTGAGTCATTAAGTTTATATAATCATGCAAAGATAAAATTATAAACTGGGAAAATACCCGAGTATTATATGAACTGAAGTGTAAAGTTCATCAATTACCAAAACAGTTGATGAAGTATCGCGAATTTTTTCCAGGCTGAATTGACTAGGACATGTTTTATTATTCTTACTGAGTCATTATTTACACTATTGTACTATATAAGGAATAAAAGGGTTGGGTTGGAATAAATCACACTACATACTACTGACTGTGCGTCGGTGGCATAGCGGTTAGGACGCTCGCCGACCATGCCCATGGTCCGGGGTTCGACCCCTGGCCGACACAACCCTTTACCTCGCTAAGCCAGTAACAAGACTGGTAAAGGGGCGAGGTTGGGCATGGGGATAGCAATCCCATCCCGTTAAAATCAACACCACTGTTACCGAAGCTTCAGCCCTGTAGCTTGAAGCCCCCTATGTTCCACTGGGAACGTAAAGGATTGTAAAAAATAAACAATCATCACCAAAGTACAAAAAAAATAAGCAAATAACCAGCCCCTAAATGAGCTGACACGTTTTTGTTCTTGATCTCTACGACTCAGTTATCAAAAACGACCTTACGCCCGAAGTTATGAATCTAATTCGCTGATCTCTCTCTTACCCACTTTGCTGATTGATTTAAGGCTGTTCATCCTGAAGACCTGTAGCGGATATATCAACGGCCTGACATGAGACTTATACTACCTGCGTCGTGTGTTTTTCTTTGAGTTGGCGAGAGAGTTCCAATACTTCGCAGAAGTTGAATAGGTTTATTTCAGGCCATGGATTCATCCTTAACTAAAAAGACAAAACTCTCTCCGAGTTCGACTGTGTTACAGCTATGAGTACATACTGAATTAAAGCCCAAGTATTCATAGCCAAGAATAATAACCCCATTCCCTTTCGTATTTTCTTATAGCAATAAATAAATAAATAAAAGTGCATAAACCACAAACGTTTTCTTTCAAAAAGACGCTAATAGTATCGTCTGCAGTGAAATTGCTTAAATGTGTCAGTAGTCACGAATTTATGCATTGTAAAACTCCACATGTGATTTATGACCGATGGAATTCAGTTGTGTGTACAACACATTTTAAGTTACTCTGGAATGTCACCGGAAATTTTAAGCCCATATTTTACTTGACTGACAACCTAAGATGAAGATAATATAAATAATAATAGTAATAAGTAAGGTGTATACATAGAGAGTTGTTCTGTGGCATGTGCTACTGATAAGATTTATAAGTAGTATATAGATGTAGATGTAAATATCAAATAGCCGAGAGATGGATTTAATGCACAATGCTTATGAAACAACACGGAAAACATGAAAGGAAGACACACTTAACAGAATCCCAAAGATATGCGCTGATTGTGATTCCTGCTTATAGTAGACGTATTTTGCCTATATCTGCGCATCGAATTGCCGATCAATAATTCCTTTTCGATATACTTGTCATTTGCCATTACAGTTCAATTTCAAAATTAAAATGTTCAGATCATAAAAAGTGTATGTGACCTTCACTTGAATACACAAACACCATTAATAAAACAAATTGAAGGCATTCCCACATTATGTTGTTTATCCATATATGTAGTTAAGATCATTTACTACCACTGAGCAGTACTCATCGGCCTAATCAGACATCGATTTATCATGAGGAGCTATGATCGATGGGCTCAACCGGTAAAAAACAATTACTTTTTAAAATAATATCAAATAAAATTTACATTGCATAAATCATCGGCAAAAGTTGGCGACAATCGGGGTTATTGTATTCTGGCTTTCAGGTATTGTACGGCAACTGGCTGTCCAATACAACTTACAGTCCAAGGTGTAATGCCTCATCATCTCAGGCTAAAGTTATCGATGCTTCCTGATTTTCAGTCATTCTCTAACTTTTAAACGTTAGTTTGGTGGATTCGATCGATTTCAGTTTTGATCAACAATTGACTTCACTCAAAGAGGCATTCAAAATCAGGGAGTACCGCACAGCTGTTTCACCGCGGTTTGGGACTTCACAGCAGTACACACCCATGACACTACCAGGGATGGAATGTAGCACCTTCAGGTTACACGGCGGGTTCGTCCACATCATTCAATCACTTGGACGGAATCCAATGACCTGTGAACACTAATTCCTCATTAATATAAGTGTAGAACTTGGGCACTGTGGTAGAATGTAATTCCATACTGGATAAGTTTATTTTAAATATCACACAGCTATAATGTATTTTTTCACATATATAAACTGATTACTAGACGGAATCCAATTCACTTCTGAGTTATAAAATGAACAGGGTGAGTTTGCAGTGCTAGACTGTAGAATAAAACCGAAAACAAGATGGTGGGTGGTTAGATACTAGCATTTATAAGAAACCGACACACTCTAATAAATACTTAGACTTTAGTTCATCCCATCCAGAATCGGTAAACATAGGTTAAGTTAAATGTCTATGTAATCGGGCCAAGAGTCTAACTAGAAGGCCAGAAGATTTAAATGATGAAATGAAACAAATAATGGAAGTGCTGATTTATAGGGATTTGATTGATTGGTTACAGGATTTCATCATGAGCTGAAATTAGTTAGAGAACCATTGGAAAACCTGCCAGGGAGCACTGCCAGACAACTGTTTCGTCTTAGTTTGAGACTCCTCATCAATACGCACCCACCAACGGGGTTCGAACCCATGACCTTCTGGTTACAAGACTAGCGAGCTCGTAGACTATTCATTAGCCAGTGGGACTCGATCCAATGGCCCATGAATTGTAACTTATGCCAATTCACGACATAGCGAGACCACTAGCCAATGTCTTCGGCGAGTATTTGTCCTCACACCCGACCTGCTGCACCCTACTGGTCACGACTAGAACCACTAGAACCTCAGGTAACTACTACCTACCTGAATATGGCAAGTCGCTAGTGAGCATCTCATCGATATTACTAGTGAATAAGTACTCACCAGAATTTATTCAAAAACATATGAAGAACCATAGAAAAACTAAGATTAGTAATAAAAATAACGAAAATAATATAGAATTCAAAGCC